TATCATGTTGCTGCTGATCTGTTTCATGTTGCTGCTGATCTGTTTCAATGTTGATGTGTTCATGCGTGCACATCTGCTCACAGACTCATGTTCATGTTTGTGCTGATGTTCAATGTTTTATGTTATGAGTGCTTAGTGTATATTTAGTTGATGTTTTTCTTAGTTCATATCTTAGATGTTATTACTGTTTTTCTTATACATTTTATTGTCGGATGTAACTGGGACCTTGTGTACATAATTTCGCTCCACCACATGTACCACATGAGGTGCGAATGACAATAAAGAAACTCTGACTCTGACTCAGACTCTGAAACACTGAGAATGTTGTTTTAGATCTGGACATTAGCATTGAATCGTTTTCTGTCATGTGCAGGAATCCAGATCCAGTTGGAACATTCAGGAGATTTCCTCATGAATGCTGTTTACCAACGACAGTGAGCACTCTTAACTGGAGACTAATTAATCTACTACATTTCCATCAGCTGCACAAAGCTATTAGATGACGAGACTTCCCCTTTCCATCCCGGAGCTGCAGATGTCATTTTCACCCAGAATAACCGTCTTTCTAAACCTAATTTTAGCACCAACTTATTTCCTCAACTTTCACAAATGCCAGGACCCACGTCCACCCAACCGCCCTTGGAGGTTTTTGGTTGCTCGCAGTTAAATTTTCCAGAAGCAACGGAAAACTGCACACATGTTCGTTCACGAATGTTTCCAGCGAAGCTTCAGTTAACTTAATGGAGGAGCATAATATAAGGTTCTGCTGATGCATCAAAGCTGGTTCAGAATAAATGATCCTGGCCACAAAGTCACCCAGCAGCCGGCCTTTACAACCCTTTAACCAACTCCTCTTCTTCATGCAGTTGTTCAGTGTGACTTAAAAAAAAGTCTTAGCTGTAATGTTCTATATGAGCTGAACATTCTCAATGGGTAAAAGAGCTAAAAGTACATTAAAGTAGTAAGAATCCAAAAATGTGTGAAAGAAACCAAGAAGGAAAACAATGGTGAGAATGCTGATTCACCATTCACACAATTAAAAGATTTTATTCTAAACTGACACTAAAAATATTTCAGACTGGTTCTTGAGATCGACAGATACCGTGTGAGGGAGACCTGTTTGAGCAGAACCATACTTTTATATATAACCTTGTCTGGAAACTTTTGATGCAAATATATTAAACATTACAAAAATACCGAACAGCTGTCTTGGCAAGTAGTTTAATTGTTCTGAAGAAAAAATAATAATTGTTCAATAACCTGCATTGTTTGTTTACCAAATTCCCAGTTGCTGAAAAATAGTTTTTATTGTGGCTTCACTTGACTGCAAGTTAATAATAAAGGCACTGGTTTACCTGCGGGCAAACTGGAAGTTGGAGGAGGTGCTGGCAGAGACGTTCCTGGGGCTTTCTGAAGGACTGCTGCCAGCTGATGGGGAAAAGGAAGACGTGTTTGAAAATGGCAAAAAGCTAACGTGCACATGAATTAATTGGTTAATCAACATGCTAAGAAGTTGCATAGACCAGCTACTTGTTAACCATAACCATGCTGAAATGGTAAATGTGCCAAGAAATAAGTTTAGTGCAGCTCTTAATTTATATCTTAGATCTTTTTTACTGTTTATTTTTACACTTTATATTTTTGATATTGTTGGATGTAACTGGGACCCTGAGTACACAATTTTGTTCCACCTCATGTATCACATGTGAAGCAAATGACAATAAAGAACCTTGACTTGACAATTATCTTTGCCCAGCATTCAATTGTGAAACAAAACACAGCTGTGAGTTTGCTTTCTTTGATTTAGTGCAGTTTGAACAATTTTTTAAAGTTTACTGGTACTAATGTCACACCAGAAAAGAGGTTTCTTCAATGCCTAATCTATAGTCTCTTTGTTCAACGGCTCAACGGTTGTTCAGAACACACTGGAAGATGACTACAGGCCTTTCATGGTGGAGAAGTTGTGGGAAAGTCAAGGCTACGGTGTTTCCACCGCTCAGAGGACGACTCTAAATAATAAATAATAGTAAATGTAAATAATAAATCTTCTTCATACACCAAAGTTAGTCATGGGGTTCCTCAGGGCTCAGTGCTTGGGGCAATACTCTTTACTTTATATATGCTTCCATTAGGTAAAATTATTAAACAGCATGGGATAAATTTCCATTGTTATGCTGATGACACACAATTATATTTATCCATTAAACCCAATGAATCCAATCAGCTACTTAGACTAAAAGCATGTCTTCAAGACATAAAAACCTGGATGACCGTTAATTTTCTCCTGTTGAACACAGCCAAGACTGAGGTTTTGGTTTTTGGACCTGAGCACTTTAGGAATGAATTTTTCAGTCTTTCTCCTTCCTTAGATGGCATTAATCTGTCCTCCAGCTCTAATGTTAAAAATCTTGGTGTTATTTTTGATCAGGACATGTCTTTTATCCCCCACATTAAAAACGTTACTAGAACCACCTTCTTCCACCTGCGTAATATCTTCAATAGAGCTTCATGGACAAATCTCACCGACTTGTCAAGTGCATATGTAATGCGTCTTTAAATGTGCTGCTGGTAGTTTTTTTATGTCTTAAATCATGTCCTGATAAGGACAAGATGTGAAGAGATCTTTTTGTAATACCACTACCCTCTCCTCATGGCCTTTCCCCTTTTCTACATAAAGAATAAGGGCCACGCTCTTAGGAGCAGCAGCAACGTGCACTCCACCCATTTTTCGGACGACTGTACGGACATAATCTCGCTGTACTTCAGTGCAAAGATAAAGCTTGTTCTGATTCTGATAACGATACATTTATTATATTAGTTTCAGGTCATTTTGTTTTAAAGGTTATTGTTTTAGTTTGGTGTGAAATGTTATATTAGGTTAACGCAGAGACATCAGGGTGATATTCACAGGTGGGCAGACTAAAGCAGATGAAGTACAACCTGGAGCTCAGAGCAGTAGGTGCACCTTTAGGAAGCAGAGAGGGATTCAAACATTTGTTGACTCATTGAAACAAACCCGACAGCTTAGTCGACTACTAAAAGAATCAGATGCAGCCCAGCCCAACAAGAAATCATCTAAACAGAGCCTGTAGTTCATCTACAGCTAATTTACTGTTTTTGTTTATGACATTTGGATGTTGGCAGCAAAACAACTGTTTTGTTCACATCAGCCATGTGGTCAAAGTAGTCATGAGCTTATTGTCTGGAGTTTGTGAATCCAGTTATTTAAGTAGTATATAAGTGTCTTTGTCTCCATGGCTACAAATGGCGTGCAGTCACTAGGGGTATAAAAATGACTTGAGATACTGGACTCCAGTGAACATGACAAAAAGAGATCAACAATACTTCTAGAGAGAAAAGTTTTACCACAACTTAACTGACCTCTTGTCTGATTTCTCAGGAGTCTTTTCAGACCTTAAAACAGCTTCAACTACGGTTTAAATTTACTTCTTATAAAAGCTGTATGACCTTTGAACTCAGGGGGCTCTAACACATTTTCACAAGAGGTCAAATTGAAAAAAAAAGCCTGATCAAAAGCTAAAACTGATCAGGTTGGTGATTTTTCTTAGAACAAATTTGAAATGTTTTTGAAATGTTAAACACACCAAGTTCAGGTCCCTTCCAAACTTCATCAGAATTTTTCTAGTCATCTTATTTTCCTTTAATTAGCATTTCATAACAACAGGTGAAACTGTGTTTGTAGATCCTGATGCATGATCAATAATCCAGGTAGAAAAATCCAACAAAGTTAAGTCAGGTCCTCTGGACGGATTCTTCTTGTTGAAACGTTTCATCTTTTATCTAAAAGAGTCTGAGGAGCCACAACAAACTCAGTCTTATAAATAGCACCTTCCAACAGTGAGCCAACCTATCGTGTCTTTTGGATGAAAGAAGAAACGTTTCAACAAAAAGAAACTGTTCAGAGGAATTGACTTTACGTTGTTGGATACGTTTGTAGATTTTGTGCTACAGCCAAATTCCACTTTAATTGGACATTTGACACTTTATCTGTGCTGCTGATTATCCATGCTGCTGATTATCCATGCTGCTGATTATCC